AAATGTTTTAAAGGTTGGGGATATACCCCAGTTCAATTACCAATACCAAACTAAATAAGCTATCAAATAATATTTAAAAGTGTTATTAAAAGATAATGTAGAAGATTTAAAATATAAAACCTAAATTAATGGGCTAAATTATGCCAAAAAATAAGTTTCTTCATAATTTCATTCGAAGACAGAAATATTATACCTAACATTTTTCAAATGATTCCGTTTTTATAAGTAACACCTTTAATCACTAAGCAAGTAAAAAGTATTTGTGTGTGTGGGTCAGAGAATTTTAAAAAGTCAGAGCCTGTGATCAACCCCTTGCCCAGACTTTACTCCCTCAAGAAAGAAGAGATGCTGCTACAAGACAACACAGAGAATGAGGATCCTCAGTTCATTCTTCGGGTTCAGAGATTGCTGTGCGAGTAACAGTAGAAGAGGGAAAGAGTCTTCCATGTTGCACTGGAAAACATCAAGCTTTTGTAAAAAATGGAAAGGTTGCTGGTGTATTTTAAATTTACTCAACTTAATGTTGAAAGTGAATAATAAGTTACAGAGGCTAATCACGCGTTTCAGCCAAATGAGAACATCTGCAATGGCAGGAGGAACAGCGCAATGACAGCGCTAACCATGCGCCTGCTTCAGGGCATAGACTGCTCAGCAGCTGGATTAAAGAAGCCACCCCCCATGAGATAGCATTTCTGTACTAGTGCCGCCTACACTCAGACACTCACTCCCCTCACTGGGGACTTTAAGGTACAGGTACCATAGCCTAGTAGTGTCCCATAAGAGAAAACGCTTCAAATGCTTACTGAAATATTTTAGAGAAATGAATGTAGGAAAAAGAATAAAGTCTCAGAGACTATAAAGCAGAATAGCACAGAGGTCAGCAATAACCATGTGGGGTATTTGTCACACAGAGAAACTGACAGAATATAAGTCTATACTCAGTGAACACATGAACAAAGGAACAAACTTTCTCGCGCCTGACTTCAAATCCCAGTCTTACCAATATTGCTCCTTGGGAAGTTCCTCAAATGTCTTTTCTTATGCTCAAGTTATTAACCTGCAAAATGATGATAATTCTTATTACAGGGATTGGACCAAGTAAGGCATATAAATATATAAATCTGCTTCCTGGAACAAGGTGAATTCTCAATAAAGGATGTTCATTTTAAGAGCCCTTCTAGGAATGAGTGATTTAGCTAACTCCTGACCAAATAGAGGCAACAGATCATTAAATCTTTGTTGTTTAAAGCCATGTTAATCACAAGTGCTTCACGGTTTACTTTTAACCTGACTGATAACTAGTTGAGACCAGAACACCCAAAGGTTTATGTGTAAATCACAGTTTAGACTTCTGTGTACTGACTTTACCAGAATCTACACTGTATCGAATCTCTAGGGAGGCCTGCATACCCAGCACTTTAGTACACCACCTGCTTTTCCTTGAGCTCCTCCTTTCTTTGGAGCTGAACATCAGCCCTGCAGGCCTCTTAGCATAGACAGTATACACTGTTCAAATTCAATTCCTCACTTCATTGGCCCAGAGTCACTGATTTGTGGCCAAATGCAGGCAAAAATCATGAAAAGATAGTGACCTACAATGGTAGGGACACTCTTTCCTAACAGTTTCTCAGTAATGAACTACTTGGCATAACAAATTCTCTTGGGACCCCAAAATTTAGGTATGTCCTGCAAGCACATTGCAGAGAACATCCAATCATGATTTAAAACAAACTATGCCTGCAAAGAGACAACACACACCTTTGGGCGTTCTGGTCTCAGCTAGTTATCAGCCAAATTAAAAGTAAACCATGAAGCACTTAGGATTAGCATGGCTTTAAGTAACCAAGATTTAACGAAGATATTTCCCCCTACAGATCAAGAACTATTTACACTGAAACTAACAAAAGTGTTGGAAAGGCCAACTAAAGTCTTTCCCCCCCCCCTCTTTTTTTTTTCTAGGCAACATAGTGGTACTAAATTATAAATGCTGCTGCATACAATCAAGTTGTCTTTTCTGGGAGATGGTGGTTTAGAAATTTTTCTTAGAATTTGTAAATAATTTTTGTCACTACCTGCGTGCATCACCCAGCAAAAGTCAGCCATGTACTATTTCTGATGTTACTACTTTAGCACGGCGCTTGATGCAATGATTTTTCTCTCCTTGTCTATCACCATATCAGCAGTTTTGCCGACAGTGTCATATCCAGCGATGTCTGGGGAGAAGAGAGAGATGGTTACTTAATATGTAAGGGCTCACACTGGAATGCAGCCCCGTCCATCAGCCCCGTCCATCACGACCACCAAAACCCTCATAAGAAGGAAACAGAAAGAAATCGGAGCTGGATTGATGTTCAGGGCATGTGACATTGAATAATGTTGTTGGCAGCCAAACACTGAGCCTCCGCAGCCATACCGTGATTCATTGAGAGCTAGTTACTAAACGACAGGCACCCAGAATAGGCAAACTCGTCCTGCCTCGACTGAACCCACGGCCCTGGGGGCCTTGAGAAGGAAGCTTTGAGGCGGCGACGGCGGGGGACACGGGGCCTGAATCGATGTTGGCATCGATTTGGACTAACGCTGGGCCTTTACATGGATTACATCGCCGAATCTCACTCCACGCCAGGAAGTCGCTATTATTAACCCCCTTCTGGAGAGCGGGCATTGGGCTGAAGCAGAATGAGGCAGAGCGGCTTGTGCCACGGCTCCCGCCAGCGCCGTCTAGCTCCAGGTGGGGGCGCTCGGGATCCTGCTTCTCGGAGGGAGAGACGCGGAGCGGCGGAGGGCAAGGGGCGTCCCGCGCTGCGCCGCTCTCACCCTGGGGAGCCAAACGCTCCCGCGCGCTTGACTAGCAGCATCCGCCCCCTCCGCCAGCCCACTCGCGGCGGGGAGGAGGTTCTCACGGCCCCTGCTCCTGGGTGACTGCATCACAGGTCGGAAGGAAGCGTGGTGAGGGATGAGTCATCCCGCTTAATTCCTCCTTCCCGGGCCCCCCTTGCCTCCGCACGCCGGCCCCCTCCCGAGATCCTGCCGCCGGGAGCGAGCAAGACGGCTAAGAATCTGCTCCTCCTCAAGACTTCACCGAGCCCCCGGAGGCCTGCGGTGCAGAGAGACAGGCAGGAGTTACGGTCAATGAGATCTCCGCTCTCTCGCCATCTATCCAATGAGCTTCGGCTCCAGGGTGGGCGGGTCTAGAAGGTCCAGAGGGGGCGGGCCTCGGCCAGCGCTCGGCGCGGCAGCTCCGCAGCTCACACAGGGAGCGCGTTGCAGGGAGTAGGCGCCAGGGGGACGCGGGAAGGCGCCTCCGCCGCCGCCGCCGCCGCTGGCCAAGGTGCTGGACACGACAGGCCCGCCGGCCACCCCAGCAGCGCAGGCATCCGCGGCTGCAGCTGCTGCAGCCTTGCATTCCGCCAGGGCCCCATGGAAGAGATGGAGGAAGAGTTGAAATGCCCCGTGTGCGGCTCCTTCTACCGGGAGCCCATCATCCTGCCCTGCTCCCACAATCTGTGCCAGGCGTGCGCCCGCAACATCCTGGTGCAGACCCCGGAATCGGAGTCGCCCCAAAGCCGCCGGGCCTCGGGCTCTGGAGTCTCCGACTATGACTACCTGGACCTGGACAAGATGAGCCTGTACAGCGAGGCGGATAGCGGCTACGGCTCCTACGGGGGCTTCGCCAGCGCCCCCACCACCCCGTGCCAGAAGTCCCCCAACGGCGTCCGCGTGTTTCCCCCGGCCATGCCGCCACCGCCTACCCACCTGTCACCGGCCCTGGCCCCGGTGCCTCGCAACTCCTGTATCACCTGTCCCCAGTGTCACCGCAGCCTCATCCTGGACGACCGGGGGCTCCGCGGCTTCCCTAAGAACCGCGTCTTGGAAGGGGTCATTGACCGCTACCAGCAGAGCAAAGCCGCGGCCCTCAAGTGCCAGCTGTGCGAGAAGGCGCCCAAGGAGGCCACCGTCATGTGTGAACAGTGCGATGTCTTCTACTGCGACCCATGTCGCCTGCGCTGTCACCCGCCCCGGGGACCCCTGGCCAAGCACCGCCTGGTGCCCCCGGCCCAGGGCCGCGTGAGCCGGAGGCTAAGCCCGCGCAAGGTCTCCACCTGCACCGACCACGAGCTGGAGAACCACAGCATGTACTGCGTGCAATGCAAGATGCCCGTGTGCTACCAGTGCCTGGAGGAGGGCAAACACTCCAGCCACGAAGTCAAGGCCCTGGGGGCCATGTGGAAACTGCACAAGGTGAGTCCTGAAAAAACCCTCCCTAACTCCCTGCGCCTCAGGTCCTCCCGCTTTGGCGCAATCGGTCTCCCTCTTTTGCTCACAGCGCATCCCAGCGGGGGCGTGATGAAGGTGACTTCGACATAGGCCTTCCAGATCTGGTGCATTGCAGAAGGCTCGGGGAGCTTAACTGCACAGGGGAAGTTGAAGGTCCCCAGCCAGTTGGTGCAGGGATGCCTGAGAGTGGGTTTCCCGGGACGCGTTGCTTGTGAGCTGCGCGCAGGGCGCCCCCTCTCCGCCGCGGGTCTGCAGCCCTTGGCCGTGCCCAGAGGGTGGCACAGGGCTGCTTCGCTGGACAGAGCCCCGCCAGTGGCAAAGGTCGGCAGGCAAGCTTCAGATCAGGGCCTGTGGAGAGCCCCTGGGAGGGAGCCTGTGGTCTGTCTCTGTTGGATAGGCGGTCGCCAAGAGACGCTGCGGATGGATACTGATGAGTCCGCGCTGGGTCAGATCTGGCGCTCAGGCGGGCAGGGATTCGGTTCTCGGGTGGTAGTGCCAAGAAGAAAGGAGAGGGTGTGGGGAAAAATCCCTTCAATCACTGGGGCAACGCGGGGAGCAGGCTCAGGCTTGACCCTCCCAGAGCGGGACCTGGGGCTGGAATGACAAGAACAGAGTTTTCTGCACTTTCGCCCACTGGCAATCAAGCAGGAGCATCTCGCAGGGAAACCTCCTCCTCCCAATCGCGATCAAGCTCGTTTCTCCAGGATTCAACCCTTGCTCTCTTTTGGTAGTTACCATGGGCAAACTTTGGGACACCTGTTATCAGATGATCTTCCTGGTCTCGTGATGGTGCCCCTGCCATAGCTAATCAAGAAAACCATTCCCCTCCTCTACCACGAGACCTGGGGTGGCTCCTCTCCTGCCTCTCAGACCACCCTTACGTTGGCCTCTGTGAAGCTACACGACCTGTTCCGACCCTCGTAGCTTCTTCCCACTCACTCCTGCTGCTCCTGCCACACGGCGTATGTTGCTGTTGCTCAGTCAGCAACAGGCATCTTCCCACCCGAGGACTCTGCATGTAGATTCTCTCCGTCTGAAACTCTCCCAGCCCGAGAGCTCAGTGGTTCACTTGCCAGCCCCCTTACACTTTCTGCCCAGAGGTCACCTTTCCAGTGAGACTTGCCTAACCATGGCGGGCGCACTCTCCTCAGACACCTCCACTTCCTTCTGTTATTTTTTTTTTCCAGTAGCATTTATCACTCTCTGGCACGCTTCCATGCCGTATGTTATGTGTTAATTGTATTATTTCTGTATTTATCTATTGCCCCTCTCCACACACATAGGAAAATAAGCATCATGCAGAAAGGGGTTGTTGTAATATCATGCTCATGCTGCCCAGAAGGTTTTGTTGTTGTTGTTGTTGTTGTTGTTGTTGTTGTTGTTGTTGTTGTTGTTTTGGTGGCCTCAGGTTGCCTTCAGCGCAGGTCTGATTTGGCTTGAGTATCTGGGTATCGAACCACAGCACCCTGAGGCTGATTGCTTTGCTTAAGCAGGCACTTAAGGAACCACTGTGCCAAGAGGTGCTTCAATTTGACTTTTGCTTTTTAAATGATCCACGTAGGTGGACGTGTCTAAGGCAGGAGCACAGGATGTTTGGAGGGAAGTTCTCTTTCCATCACTGGGTGGAACCCAAGGATGATACAGGATGAGAAGGATGATGGGAAGCCTCAGCTATGGTCTTGGGCTTAGTTTCCCAGCATTCTTTGGAGACCAAAAAGGCTGGTCATTGAGAAACTCCAACTCTGGATTAAGGCTAGAACAATGATCATGATTCAGAGCAACAAAAGGGTGAATGTCACCATGTTAAGCAACCACTAAGAGATTTCCTTAACTCTGTTCCAAATGAATGTGATCCATGTTTAGTCTTTTGTATTCTCACATACAACTTATTAAACTTATACCAGCACCAATGAATAATTAATTTGGCACAAATCTTAACACCACCGGGCACACGCTTCTGTTTTTAAAACATTTCCATTTGTATTTTCCAAAATGCCATTTCATTTTGAAACTTCAGAAGTTTAGTTCACAGCCATGTTTTTCTTCATACTGTGTTTCACTGTTCAACCAAATACCATCTCTGCTGAATTGCCTTTCAATGTATCTGAGAAATGCCATGCAGTCTGGCCAATAACATGGATACAGGTCAGGGAAGGTGGTCAAACCACAGCATCACTTTTTTATGAAGAGCCTATACTTTATCCATTAATAGAAAAAGGAATCTTCAGCTCTCTGTCAAACCCCATGTTCAATTGAAATGTCCAGTCATTCATTTTAATTGATAATGGAAATTGTGAGTAGGCGTTGTGGTGCTGATGGGGCAGAAAGCTACATATCATCAATGAAGAATATTAAAGTCTTTGAGACACTGGATAAGATGACTAGAAGACCATTTGTTTTCTAACCTGCTGCACATGTTTTTCCAAAAGGGTAAGTAGGTTTCATTTTTGTCCAGTTGGTTAAACTGCCTAGAATAAATAAGGCAGAAAGATAACAGATTTTAACATTCAGTTGTCATCTGTTAGATAAACAACAAACATTACTCTCCAAATTTCTTTCTTTCTTTCCTTCTTATTCATTTTTTGCAGCACTAGGGATCAAACTTGGGACTTTGTGCATGCCAGTCAGGTGCTTATGCCACTGAACTGTCTCCCCAACCCAAACATTTGTGTTTTCTTCCCTTTTAAAAATTTTTAATTTTTATATATTTGGTACAGGTCTTAATACACAGCTAGGACTCATAGGGATTCTCCTGGAATTACAGGCATGAGCCACTACACCATCACTTGGTGGCCAGCTCAGTGTGCCAGGGGTGGGGCCAGTGAGGCCTGTGGTACTGGGGATGGAATCCTGGTCCCTGTGCTTGCCTAAGCAGGCGCTTATTCCACTGAGCTATCTCACCAGCCCTCAACTTTAGTTCTTTCGTAAGGTACTTAATGTATTATTGTCCTTGGATAGTCTGTGATTTAGTTCATTAAATCTCTCTACAAAAATTCATGGGCCAGGACTTGTATAAACAGAAGAGAGCAAAGAATTATACTTGATTCTTCCAAAGTTAGGCAGTCAATTGTCAACATAGATTTCTGAAGCCTGAAACTGATCATTAATATTCTACTACCTAGTCATTTCTGATAAAGAAAATACTATGAATAAGTATTTCCCTCAAGTGTAAGTCTCTTACCTATTCAAGACCAAATGACTGAAGCTGATTTTTAAGTAATTTTAAAAAGAAGTGGTTAGAATTTATTATTTATCAGTATATATTTTTTCAGATGTTTGTGACTTAAGATAAATGAAGTAGGCTTTTAAGTGAAATACCTGGTAATAGGTTTTATTTACTATCACTTCTTATAATAGTCCTTTATCTAGATCAGCCTGATATAAAAATTACAACACAAAAAATTATTTTATAGGCATTTTAAAATAGGCAAGTAAAACCACTATTGTTACTTTGTAATTTTAAGCTGTTCATATTTCCAAATCCTAATATGATCACCCTTGGATTTCTGCCATGTTTTACCAATCACTGAATCAGTAAAGATTTGTAATCATTCTTCTGTGTTTGAGAAAAGATTTTCTTTTCTAGCTTAACATCCCATTTATTCTGAGTTTGTCTCAAATGTTGTTTTACTCATACCTTCTTTGTCTTTTTAATGAAGATTTGAAATTCAAACATTTTAAACTAAGTTGTCCTTTCATTCTCAAAGAATTCTGGGGAAAAATATCCACTTAGTTGGATAATGACATCTCCTTAACTGTTTGTGTAGCAAAATGGATTATGCAGTACCACTAAAATCATACTCTATGTACATATGTACCATATAGATACATCAATGTCTATACAGTAAATGCATTATGATCTCCGTGTTCTTGTGGTCAATGTAATAGGTCCCCTATGTTCACGGTATTTTTTTTTTCTTTTAGTTAACTCCTAGTGCAGTCAGAAATCCTGTGTGCATTCTGAACATTTTTACAGGTCTTCGGAGAATGTGACAGAGGAGAGAATTGTTTCTCTTTATACTGAGACACAGGGACAGGGCTGGGTGGCAGGAGTTCCATTTCCACAACCAACACTGCTCCTTACACTCTGCTGACTCTCAGCAAGCCTTGTACTTCCCTGCGCTTCTTTTTTTTTTTTTT